GTTAATTATTCTTGAACTGACCAAAGTATTTAAAGTGAGAAGGTTACAATTCCTCCAATGAGAAACAAGCTAGAGTAATGACACCTAATCTGCACATGCTCAGTAGGATTCTCTCTCTGCCTGTGAAAAAGGAGCATAATCATTTCATCTCAGCAAAAATTAACTGAATACTGATTTTGAGGTATGAAAGTTACTTTTTGGATGTACAGTATTTTTCTTCTGCTGTCTAAAGTTTAGATGACTGCGTATTTAAACTTACATTTTATCTCTAGATTATTTATAAAAAATTGACCGATAAGTCAATTGTCATTAAACCAGCAGATAAAGGAGGGGCAATTGTCATTCAGAATAATTAAGATTATGTGAGGGAATGTGAAAGACAACTTTCAGATTTAGATTTTTATGAAAAACTTCCAGGGGATCCTACTCGCATGTTTAAGGAAGAAATATATATAAGCATGGCTAGCTATCATACAAGATTTTATCATGGCTGCAACATTGGGAGCAATTGTAACATTGTGTTACAACTGCCCCCAAGCCACATGGCCCAGCACCTTGTTTGTCTGTATTGAGATACTTTTCGGTTAGAAAATTAACATATTTAAATGTAAAACTACATTTAAAAATGATTAATGTTACACATTAAACAATGTGTTGCTTTTAAATCTTTTAAAAAAATGAAATGAATATTATATCCACATGATTTCATTGAGTTATTCTGTTAATACTTCTATCTTGTACCATTTCATTCAATTTTGTTTAAAGACTTGACTCATCAGCTGATTCATGTATTTGAGTAAAATATATTTAAAATATATTTAAATTTTATATATATACATATACAGTATATATATATATATATATATATATATATATATAATTAAAATCTAGTTACCACTAGAATAGTTGCCTAGTCTTCTGCAAAAATAGAAATAGACTTGCTTTTTGAATGCATATGATGCCTGACATCTAAAAGAATTTGAAACATATACAAAAATAAATAAATAAATAAATCTTAAGTAACATTATTAGATACTACAGCAGTAAAGCGATTACACTGAGGTAGGCTTTTATTTGAGATACAGTGGGTTAATACAAGGGGGCAATTGTAACACTCTGACTTCTTGCATTTAATATAGTCTGTGAGTTATGAAGGAAAATGTAAAAAATGTTACAATTGCCCCAGGTCTCCCCTAATTAAATCACAGTAATTAATTACCTAGTAATGCATTACACCCAACACTGGTTAAACTAATGTAATATTCAGAAAGAGATTTGTGCTTTGCAGTCTCTCACCCCTTTTCAGCAGCATAATGGGCTAACTGATTGTAAAAATAAGGCGAGGGGGCGGGGCAATGGGAAAACTCTTGATCTAATTGGCCTAGGCCTATGTTGGCCTGCCCATCTGTGCAAATGATAACCTGGAAAAAATAAAAATAAAAAAATCACACAGACACATACATACAATCATGTACAGTACATGCATAGCATCAGTAGCTAAAGCAGCATCTATTTGTATAAGTATGAAATATAATGTATGCTTTAAGTGATTTAGATGAGTTATTTAAATAATGAAGTCCTCTTCTAGACTATGGCTTAACTCCGTGAATAGTGGTTTTATCATTACAGCACACATTTATCATAACAAATTCTGCTGTCTAAAGTTTAGATGATTGCGAATTTAAACTTACATACATTTTATCTCTAGGTTATTGATGAAAAAATGAACATGAACAACCTATGCTAATATAAGCATGGCTAGCTATCATACAAGATTTTATCATGGCTGCAACATTGGGAGCAATTGTAACATTGTGTTACAACTGCCCCCAAGCCACATGGCCCAGCACCTTGTTTGTCTGTATTGAGATACTTTTCGGTTAGAAAATTAACATATTTAAATGTAAAACTACATTTAAAAATGATTAATGTTACACATTAAACAATGTGTTGCTTTTAAATCTTTTTAAAAAACAAATGGAATATTATCTCCACATGATCTCATTGAGTTATATTAAAATAACTATAAAAAATAAATATATTTAAATAATTAAAATCTAGTTACCGCTAGAATAGTTGCCTAGTCTTCTGCAAGACACATACATATAATCATGTACAGTACATGCATAGCATCAGTAGCTAAAGCAGCATCTATTTGTATACGTATGAAATATAATGTATGCTTTAAGTGATTTAGATGAGTTATTTAAATAATGAAGTCCTCTTCTAGACTATGGCTTAACTCAGTGAATAGTGGTTTTATCATTACAGCACACATTTATCATAACAAAATAGGTATAGTTTTCAGAACATGTAATTACAGGTACAGACTTTTGACCCTGTGAACTGAGATGCCATGGCAACAGAGATGAGGGCAGCAGGTCCCAGTGCTGTGGCTCCATGTTCTCTGAGTCTGCAGAGAAGAAGAAACCCTAATTAATAAAGTTAAAGTTGAGACAGACAACTCAAATACTGACTTAACACTATAGTTTGCTTTTCATGAACAACATAAAAACAGAAATAAAATACTGAAGCATTTTCATGAAACATTAGGATCAGCAAAACATTTAATATTTAACAACACTGTTAAATGTAGTCATATGCAAAACTCTAGTGTTTTTTTCTACAGTTTACAAAAACACACACACACACACACACACACACAGACACACACACACACACATATATTTTGACAAATATACAGTGGGTATAGAGAAGAATCACCCTCCTTTAAAATAATCACATTTTGTTGCTTTGCAGCCTGAAATGAGAACGGACACAGTTTGTTTTATCCAGCTGTATTTACTCAGTGCAACTTATAACATCCTAGTGAAAAAAATAACACCAACATGTCAGAAAAAAAACAAAACAAAAAAACAATCACTGAGTTGGAAAAAGCTTCACCCCCGTCAGTATTTTGTTGAACCACCTTTTGCTTTAATTACAGCCGTTAGTCTGTTGGGATATGTCTCTACTAAAAGGCTGCACATCTAGACTTTGCAGTATTTGCCCACTCTTCTTTGCAGAACTGCTCAAGTTCAGTTCAATTGGATGATGACCGTTTGTGGACTGCAGTCTTCAAATCATTCCACAGATTTTCAAAGGGGTTTAAGTCTGGGCTCTGACTAGGCCCTGCAAGGACATTCGCCTTTTTCTCCTTCAACCACTGTGTTCAGTTTTGCTGTGTGCTTTGGGTCATTGTCATGTTGGAAGGTAAACCTTCTTCCCATTGACAACTCTCTGGCAGAGGACAGCAGATTTTCCTCAGGAATTTGACGGTATTTTGCCCCATCTATTTTTCCTTCTATCCTGACAAGTGCTCCAGTCTAATAATTAAATTTTAGTCTCATCTGCCTCAGAATATTCAAGGTGTGTTTTGGCAAAGCACAGTCGTGACTGCATGTGGCCTTTCTTGGCTTTTTTCTTGTAACTCTCCCATACAAGCCACATTTGTGGAGAATTTGTGATATTGTTGTCACATGCACACAATGACCACTCTTTGTCATAAATTCCTACAACTGCTTCAGAGTTGCTGTAGGCCTCTTGGTAGCCTCTCTGATCAGTTTCCTCCTGACTTTTTCATCCAGTTTAGAGCGACGTCCTGATCCAGGGAGGGTCTGTGTCGTACCAAATAAC